CTGTTCTGGTGGCGTAGTGGTTTGACGCGCAGTTGGGGAAGCAGTCGCGATTTTCGTGATGCATGTCGTCAGTTCGCATTGCTGTTTTCGGATATTTTACTTTTTTTTTCCAGGTAATACTGAAAGAAAATCATGTCGCTATCTGCGGGGATCAGGAAACAACCCTTCCATGTAGATATTGTGTCGCAGTGTCGTTGGTGTGCGACTTCGGTGCGAATCGCGCTCTTTTTTATTTTATTATCTCTGTAATGTTTCAAGTATTGTTACTTGTTTTTAAATAATAATTGAGTTCGTTAATCGGAGATGTAACTATCAACTTTCTTTTATGTCCACCGTGGAATGAAGGCCTTTGCCGATGATTTCAGATTGATACTGTGCTCGGCTGCAGACTCCATTGTATGCGTGGGAATTGACTTTATTGTCGCATTGAACAACCACGCTCTGCGGGTTTTTCGTTCCTTTGCATTTATACCGTACCTCCAACTAAACATTTGTTACACGTAATGAGATGTTTCCAAATCAATTCGTTCCACGCATTTTTGTGTCGATGTGTAAAGGCAACATATAGACTGATGCCAAACGTTGTGCAGGTCCACATAGAATGTGTTCCAACCCTAGGGGCTGTATGGTGAGGCAGTATGTTTCAGTAAGTCTCAAAGCCTTTATACATATGACTACAATACATGTAGCTCGGACTTCGAGCCTACTTCGCCTGAAATCGCTCATACGTATAGACTTATTCATGTGATCGAATCGGCTCCTTCGAAAAGGGGGATATGCGCTTCACTTTCGTCGCATGAATTAGTGTGTGCTATTGCTATGAATACGAAAATAGACATTGTAGCTCTGTACGGTGCAGTAGATACTTACACGGCGCTGTGCTCTCTGTGTAGCTGTCTTCCCATCCTGAGACGACCCTTGTCTCGCGGGAGCGAAACGTGTTCCGTATCGTTCTCGGCGATTACAATGCGAGAGCGCCGAAGCCGCGAGTGTTACCGGTCGTCTGGATGGTTTAATTTGAAAGCGCTGCCTGGTACGGCTGCTGGCTTGAGTGCATCAAGCAGCATGGATGTACCCTACGATGAGCGAAGGTATCAGTAGGGCGCTTCAACGCAGTCACCTCGCGCAGGAGTGTAGAAAAAGCAAATAAAAACTTTTCCGATTACTTCAGTAAGAGCGCAAGCAACAGTACTATATCGAGGCCCTTTATAGGCAGTGTTTTTTTTTAAAGAAGCCATCCTATATTAATATCATTACGGCGCTAGGTCAATTGCCTCGATGTGGTAGCGTCTATGCACGTGCTTTCAATGGCGACTTTTAACTCGCTTTTAACACACGTTTTTAACTCGCTTTACTTGTCGTTTAATTGAAGTACTGCAATGAATTTTGTGGGGGGGGGACCTAAGGCAAGGGATCTGCGGCAACTGCTACTCAGCGAGCCGGGTCCGTCAGCGAGAACCTCGACACCCAGCTGATCCTCCAGGGATCTCGCTTGAGAGTGGCTCCTGCCATAGCTTCACTGCAGGATGCTGCCTTCAAAATAGGCACATTATTTTAAACAATATTAAAAGCTAGAAATAAAGAAAAAATCGGCAGATGCCACGTAAAGTGGGAATCGTTGATATGCGAAGCACGTCTGAGAAATGTTGATATGTCATTTTAAAATCAATAAAACGTAACGAGGTGGGAATAAATGATCCCTACATGACTTCCGTGTCATGATTATTATGTTTGGATGTGTCGTTTACCTTCATCATCTATTGACATCACGTGATACTAAATTTAGTATATATGGAGCAAGCGAAACAGCCACGAACCCGCTATGAGCACGGCATGTTGTCATGTTCTTACATGACATGCGTGTCAGGTTTATCATGTTTGCATCTGTCATATACTTTATCATTCATTGACGTCACGTAACACCAAATTCGGTATATGTTGACCTAGCAAATGGCCGCGAGAGCATCATGAAGGGCCCTATATACTCCAATGTAGCGTTGACGTGCGCGCACGCTGGGCACAGCGACGCAACGTTAGCAAAACGCGAGCACCAGGTGCGACCTAGCGTCCGTCGGCGCGGCCTGACCGGCAACCAGCGCGAAATGCGACATGCTGCATTTCGCGCTGATGCGTTACCCAGACAACACTCCGTCTCCCTCGTCTCGTGACGGAGGGACGCCGGATGCACTAAAACGCGCATGCGTCAAAGCAACGCAGCGTGGCGTGCGCCTGCGAGTACATGGCAGGACCGGCGTGACGTGATGAAACGAACGCCGGTGAGCACGCGTACCGCGTCACGTAGAATTGTATTGGCACCTTGACTGTGGCATGTAGTCATGTTTTCACATGACAAGCGCCTAATGATTATTATGTTTGCACGAGTCACATACCTTCGCATCCATTGGCGTCACCTAATACCATATTTGACTTATGTGAAGCCAGCAAAATGACCGCGAGCGCATCATCAGTATGGCATGTAGTCATGTTGTTACATGACACGTATTTCGTGATTATCATGTTTGCACCAGTATCGTACCTTCGCAATCCTTTTACGTCCCATAATACCGAATTTGGTATATGTGGAGCTAGCGAAATGGCCGCGAGCGCATCATGAGCGTGGCATATAGTCATCTTGTTACATGACACGCATGTCATCATTTTCATGTTAGCGTCAGTCGCTTGTGTTCGGCAGGCAATCATGTCATACTATACCAGTTTTGCAACATGGCTTGTGATCGAAACCACCACATGAGATTCAGGACCATGAAATATAAATCATGACATTCATGACTTGAATATCATGATTTTGATGTTATGGCTTGTAAAATAAGTTCTTCATACAGTCATGTTACGCCATACCAAGTTTGGTATCGATACCATTATTGAAACGGCCCGGAGAAATAAAAGTAGTAGGCGGCTAGATAGATAGAGATACGCTCAAAGTCGCCGGAGTTCACTAAGAAATGCTTCGCATTTAAAAGTTGGTCAGCACGACTTGAACTGAAGTTGCCCATCAACAACGTGCCCACTGCGCCTCGATAGATGAACGTGGCAGGGTTAACAACTAGCACAAACAGCGATGTGATTTTCTTGCAAAAAGCAAAATTACGACTCCTTGAAAGCAGTACCGTCAGTAATTACGCATTACTATAAATATAAAAAAGTAACAAAACGAAGTTCTAACTGACGGCCTGCGGCATGACCGCTTTCCTTAACTGTTTGTAAACCAACCGCGCCACCAGAACAGCTAAGCGGTGGTGTTTAAAACAACTACAAATTTACGACAACGCCCCCGCCACCCTCCCCCACCTTTCTTATTTTACCATTAGATTACGGTGACGGTCCTCCTTACCATAGTCATTGCTTTACGATGAGGGGGCCCGCCGCTATAGCTTTATCGCTATTATGACGGGCCCCGTCACTTTTACAATTTCACTACGATGACGGGCCACATCATCGTAATCACGATTACACTACGCGGACGAGCCCCGTCACTCTAACGATAGTACTGCGTTGACGGTCCCCATCACCACAGCCACAGCCTTTTGTGAATTAAACAGATTTACAATAGAGAAACGACAACCATAATTGTGACAGAACAGTATGAAAAACTATGGTCCCTTAAGCTCCCCCCTTTAAGTGATATCATGTCCCTAGTGCGCACTTCAACCACTCAGTGCAAACGTTTTATTGTATGTATAATGTTACTCAAGTAGTTGAAAATGTGGATTACTACGCTTTACTCAGTAAAGTTGAAAATGGCTCGCGTCAGGAAAGCTTTTACAAATGACTGCATCCTGCGTAATGGGTAACATGCAATAAACCACGGAGAATCTTGCGCGTGAAATGTTTTCGGACTTGCTATGCACCCACTGCGTTAAGGAATGCGCGCAGCAACGAGTGTTCGTTTTACAATGGGAAGTGAGCTTTCAGCCACAAAGTCGTTATGATAATCGCATGTTCTAACGCCCGATGACAGTGTACGTTTGTACACGTAATATTACTGCGATATCACATGCGGTAAATTGAAACCTGTGTACAGCACAGGCCCAATTTTAAAGCCTGAGCATTATTTTTGCTGCGTTTGTAAGGAGAGTAAAAAAAGCAGAATCATATTGGTGGGCTAGAACACCTGTTTGCTAAGCAAAGGCCCTAGGTTTGATCCTGACTTAAACATGTAAGTTCATATTGTCTTATTGGTATATTGCTTGGTATTTTGCTTACGAACAAGATGATCTTTGGATTACAGCCAACGACGCCCACGCCTACCCGACAGTCCTACGTGTTGCTATCGCACTCATTACATCTACCTTGTGCCAAAACTGTGACCTTTTGCTCTTACCGATTGCGTTGGAGGACCAGTCAACAGGCTCCACTTTTTCTTACACTCCCCAAAGATACTCGGGAATTCATGGAGTAGACCGCGGTGATTGCGTTTTCCGAATACTACAGCGCTGTGCTCCACGCAGAGCCTTCCTTTCGAAAAACAGTTCCCGCTCTCTTTTTCTACGCCGAACCAATCCCCCTTTCAGGCCCAGTGATGAAAAGTTGCCGATCGGCGTCCTGACGTAGCACGCGGCTCGTCGATTGGTCTAAACTATGTCAGGCTACGCCTTCGTCTCCCTTTCGGGCAGGAGGGTAGTGAGGCCGCGCGGGGAAATCTGCAACAAGGTGCACCCGCTGTAACTTTTGTATTACAGCACTTATTTGGAAAATTCATGCGGCAGCATGTTCACAAAAGCAAAACTACAGATATTTCCCTTTATTACATGTTTATGTATCCTTTATTGATCATGCTAATGTAAACGTTTACTGTAATATTGTGTTGACTTCAATCTGTCAAACATTATGTCAACTGTATCACTGACGATGGTTTGTAGTCATCTTCGATGTATTGGTAGCATCTCGAAAGGATGTTAGGCAAATCATTTCGTTTCTACGTAGTTGTCTGCTACGTTGGCCTAACTGGTACGCATTTTATGATATTCCTAGGCATATCCGGACCAAAATCTGAGACAGTGTCCATTCTCTGCGGAGCACATGGTTCCGGCCTACAGGCTAATGGAACACATCTTTCGCTGCAACTTGAATCGTACAACTGAGGTCTTCTTTACGCCAACTGGTAAAACACAGTTAAAACTAATTCTGGTTTTCTATAGATCTCCTCCTTTCTATAATGTATTTTATTTTCTGTCTTAACAACCCATAGAGCGCATATTGATTTAGATTTTCTTTTAGTAGATGGCAAGACTGACGACCAGGAGCAGTAAACAGCCACAAAAGGTCGCCCAGTCTTCATCTAACGAGGTATATATTTTTCTTTTTCACCTGCTCTCTACCACATCTGCCCTGTAAGCCACTTTGTACACCTAAGGCTGGTTCACAGTGTAAACTATTTAGCTTTCAATTATTTGTACTAGTCACTGAAAAATACTACGTCCTTGCGTAAAGGTAAAGAAATTTGACAATTCCTTTATTCGGTTTGCTTCTGTGAATAGGCATCTAGCAAATTTCTTGTCATAATTAGTAAACTACCAATCAGTTGACTGAACTACGCTGTTTATTGGCCACGTTAGGCTTTGTTACCAGCTTACTGTCACGGGTGAATAGTGAGACTGTGTACTGGTGTTCATTTGCGATTTCAGAGTGCCGTTGATAGCCGACTGGCTTTAAGGTTCACAATTTGAAAGTGGTTACCACTAATGCTGAAAGCAGTGGGTTTCTTTGTACTGTGCATGCAAACCAAAGAAACCACAAAAGGCACTGCAAGTGTTTCTACAGCGCTGAAGTGCACGAATACTTTATAAGATGGCCTTAGTGGTGTTCTGTGATTACTTCATAAATAGTGAGGCCTCTGTCGCTATAAGAATGTTGTCAATGCTAGAATAGAGTCCTCAATGCTTCTGTTCAAAACATGGATACTCAGTGCACTGTGAACGTCCTTTTATTGTTTTCGCAGAGGTTAGAACGAACTCTCCAGTTGTGTCTGGAAGCAGCCATATGGCCAAGGAACCACAAAAGAAGCATAAACGCTGGTTGAATACACCGTGACCAAACGAAAACGACTCGCTGCTCTTTTCTCCCGTTCGTCACATCCTCTCGATCATATAAAAGCTCAGCTCTGTTGTTGTCTTGCTTTCTCGCGACTGTGATCACCGCCACTCACCCATCTAGCTGGCTGCGCATCACCCCCTTAAAACATTTCGCAGACCCTACCACGTACCGTGGGTATCGATGTCTCTCGATGGCTCTACGAATCGATGACTCCCCAGCTTTGAGGGTATAATCAGGCATGTTCAGTTCCATTCTTGCATAACTCGAACCAGCCCGCCAGGAGTCCTATTGTAGTCAGAGGACATTCCGAACCTAGTCTCCAAGGTTAGAAAGAGCACGAAGAGTAATATTGCAGTAATGTCCTAGCGCTAAAGAAGCTGTCCACAAAGCCAGTGCAGCCCTAAGCTAAAGTTTTCAGATGCTATCAAGCTAACAAGCGAATGTCCATCCCAAAAAAACCTTGAAAAAATGCTCCATATCTGCATGTAATCTGCAAATGTCGAAAGACGATAGTCTTGTACGTGGAGAGAGTGAACAAAATATTTATTTGATGTTATGTGCAAGTAAATCGGTGAATGGTGTTCTGGAGGCGCTGCGTAAGAGTGCCTCGAGCATGCAGCGCAGGCGAACGAGCGCATCTAGCCGCGCCACACGCGAGACATTAGCACCATCTGGCAGTTATTTTTAGAAAATGGAGGGTGTGGCTCTCAGACAGGAGTGCGTGGCCATCTCAGAGGTAATAAGGTGTAGAACGCAATGCGACGGGTAGGTGCTACCACCGTCACGTTTTAGCAAAGCGTTAAAACGCTCACCTGTTCGTGCAAGCGTTGCACGGTCAGTGCAGCGTGATAAGTGCTACGGTCCTCTTAAATTACCTGTGTATGCTTTCTGAATAAAATACGCACATGCAGAATATATACGTGCTGTTGTGGTATCCCAGATATGCGCAATAATCGCTTTTTAATCGACAATTGCACAAGTATGGATGGTGAACCTGAGCAACATTGGTGGGTGCGGGGATGAGGTGAACCCTTTTCAAGTACCCGATGCTGTTAAAAGTAGACAGACAGACAGACAGACAGACAGACAGACAGACAAACACACAAAATTTTTTGGGTCGTAGGTCCCCAAGAAAGACTATCGTCTTGTAGCACGCTTGTAGCACGGGAACGGTGAAATACAATCTGCCCGCAATATTTTTCGCTATAACAGCCTCAAAAGTGAGAGTAAAAAAAAAAAGAAAACATGCACCGTGATCAAGAAGTCGGTTAAATTTCGCAAAATAAAATGTTTGCTCAAATCACCTATCTGAATCAGCCCCTGTTAGAGCGATCAAGTTTGAATACACACAAATTTGCCACCGCGCTTGAATAATCAACGGCACAGCACACACATCCTTATCACACAAGGCACCTAATATCCCGAGTACTGCGCCCTCTTCCTTGATTCATAGAGCCGATATAAATTCCAAGTAGGTCCGTAACATTCACTGCAGGTGGCATCACCACTCCATCAGCGGCCAAAACAAACGCCTGAAAGTGGGCACGGAACTTTCAACAAAAACGACGCTGCAGCAGATATACGATAGCGATAATGCAGTTGCAAATACACCATGCGCACTCTATAGACGGACGCGGTGACTAGTGCAACTGCATGTCACATGGTTCTCTTGCAGAAGCGCCATAGTGAAGTTGGCAACACACGGCTTGAAGTAGCTACCATGTTAGCAGTTTGCTTTCCGTCGCTTTGCGACCACTGGAGACAAAAAAAAAAAAAACCATCTCACGCCTCAAGCCGGGTGCCGGGTTCGCCGGCTCAGATGAGTTTCCAACGAGCTCCCAACTGTCACGGCTCATGTTGTCATTGGCCGCGGGTGCATGCGATTTCGTGGCGTGATTCGTAATAGCCAATAGAGGGACATGGTGACTTCCTGCTTCAATTATTTCCTCCTCTGTGCGCAAGGTAAGAGGGAGCGGAAGAGAAGGGCAGAAGTCATGGGTAGATACTCTCCTCTTCTTCTCCTATGGAATACTAACCGAACGTGTCGTGAGTGAGTGTATATAATGTGCTCTCTGCTCTATTTTCCTTCTGCATCGGGTGGGCCCACGAAAGGCACTCTCTCTTTGGCTTCCGCTGACGGGCGATAGGTTTCTGTGGTAGCGTGTTAATTGTTTAACTATCTCGGGTCAGCCGTGTGCCCTAGTGTTGTAGAACATTTTTAAAAATTGTAATATCAACACCTAGAATATTGAAGGTAATCTTCCTAAGCATTATGGTTCCGTGTTTCAGCCGAATGAATGAAGCATACATATATGAATTGACTGAGGTACATTTATTATCACAAAACCACAGGCTCACCCCAACTGAAAATGGCCGGGGCATCAGGAGACAACTCCACTACGCTTCACCGTAATGAGAAGAAATGACATCAGCTTCCTTCGCACATGCATGTGAGATCTACCGAGAAGCACCCACCCTGAATTTCACCTCAGCCACCAGAAACAAGGAGCCAAGGACAGCACACCTATGGCCAAGAAGTAGGAGTTCATTCTGTGGACGACGACGCCTACACCATCAAACATTGCTATAGCCTTGCTGTCATGGTAGTGATAGCTAGACTGTTTTTAAGAGCAATACTCATGGAGTATTGGTTATGTTGCTTTCTTTACAGCTTGTCTGATTATTCACGTTGATTCTTGCATCAAGGCCCAGTAAGGTTAACAGCCTATTTAGCTATAGTAAGACCTACTTAAGAATATGCAACTATCATAGGGAACCCTTATAAGAAAGGACTAATCAATCAAGTTGGGCGAGTTGGTGACTGGCAAGCCGAGGGATCTGATCCTGGCTGTGATGGCTGCATTTTCGATGGAGGCGAAAATTTTGTAGGCCCATGTGCTCAGCTTTGAGTGCACGGTAAAGAACCCCAGGTGGTCAAAATTTCCGCAGCCCTTCATTACGGCGTCTCTCACAATCATATGGGGGTTTTGGGACGTTAAACGCTACATATCAATTAATAAAATTGAGTGAGTACAAAGAAGAGCGGCCAGGTTTATTCTTTCAAGATACGCTCGAACTATTTCTGTGACAGAGCTGTTGCAACAACTAAACTTACCCACCCTTCTGGAGCACCGTCATGTAGCCAGACAAAAAATCTTGTTTTTGCTTTCTTAAAAGACATTTAACTTTGATGTAGCGCAGTACCTCGTTCCGCGACCTGTTCAGAACGTAAGAAGTGACTACCACCGCAACTTTCAAATCCACAAATCTCGTATGAACACATACACATGCTCTTATTTTCCTGGAACCGTAAGAAACTGTACGGAATTGTGAAACGTTAAAAATTCGGATTCAAGACTATAGAAATTTTCGTAAGTAAATCTTTGTGAATGGTAGATTTTTAAAAATTTCATTGAACGTATAGAATCACACAAATTTCGTGTGACATGTATTGTGATGGTTAATGTTCTGTGGTGAATGATGTATGGATATTGCAGGTAATGGAGCAAAATATTGTGATGAAAAATGTTTGTAATTTTTCGCCTATGCATTGCTTTTTTATGCTTGACATGATAGTTACTATGTCAGAATTTGTTCACTGTCTATATGTAATGACACACTGGCGTTTTTAGATTTTTTGTGTAAGATGTTCCTTGCTATTTCATGTAAACAATGATTAGATTTATGCACCACCCATGTGACGGCTCAATCGACCAGCTGTACCTGTAAATAAATAATAAATAAATAAATAAATAAAACTTTTAAAACATTTTGACTTTTTACTGATGTGTTGAAGTGTTCGTGTTGACAGTGAATATGCTTGTGAATATTGTGTACTTTTTTATGGCTTGCTCGATGCGATGGTGCTTCTTCTACATAGCAATGTTATTTCCGAAAAACCTCAATACACAGCAGTTTGAATAAATATTAAACGTTATGCATTGATTTCTCGAATTTTCAATAGGGAGGTAATGAATTACCTAAAAACTCCTGTTTAGGTTATTTATAATGGTTGTTAAGTTGTGCTGTCTGAATGAACATGATTCATTTGTCAAATGGGCGTGCATTTTTTTTTTACCAGAAAGAACTGCCAACAGATCAACGCATATGCAATAGCCGTGACCGCAGCCTCTTTGACCCTAAAAAACAGCTGATGAAAGCCCTCCTAAATAACAGTAGAAGAAACACCCGGCCTTCGCACAAGAATGTTCAAACCGAAACCGAAACCCCTGTGGCGCGATGGCGAGGCCGGAAAAGGAACCGTGTGACAGTTTAATGCCGGCCGCTAGGAGTGCTAGCAGTCATGTGGGCCTAAGGCGTCACCCCCGGAAAATCTTTTCAGGCCTGCGCCCAGCAATCTGACGTCATTTCCGGCCGGCCGACTCTCGGGGAAGCCGCAGCGGCAGCGAGCGCAGCGCGGGCGGCGGGAGTGACGGTTAGAGGTGTGCGCCGACTGGTCGGCGCGCCGCCGCCAATAGTTTTCACCGCGCCGCCGCCGCCGACGCGATCTGATCGGCGCGCCGCCGCCGCCGCCGCCGACGTTTTTCATCGGCGCAATCGGCGCGCCATTTATGCGCCAGTACGGACTTTTCATAGATTTGTCTTCTTTTTCATCTTGATTTATAGCCTCGTTTCACATTTTATGTAGCCAGTAAAAACCAGGCTTCTTAGTTATCTTCATCCAGCTTCAGCGGCCGAGAGTACCACTATGAACAGCGGAACGAGTTCGGCGGCCGCTGCATGAAATGACATATTGGACAAATTGACGAAAAATAATTCTAACAGTTAGAGTAAAGCATAGACACTGCCATCTTAGGCTCAAAAGCAATTTTTGCTGTTTTTTTGTGTCGTAATTAGCTATGATTATGGTGATACGACGTTGAATGTAATGGCCCAGTGTTTTGATGCGTGCGAGTTCGCCATTGCACAATTCGAATATTCATAC